TTCCTCATTGATGTAGATCTTTGGATATATTTTTCCCACTCGAGAAGTAAAATAACGTTACATTATGAGACTTACAAGTACAAAGAGCGAAACGTGTGGCGACCTTTTGTGCGTATAATTTTGAATAAAAATCACTTTGGTGACATACATGTATATTTATATAATATATGTTAATAGTATAAAATATTATTAAATAAGAAAGAAATAATAAAAGTTATCTTTTCTTTCAGATATATATATATATTATTAACATAATGTACCTGAAAAAAAGATAACTTATTATTTTTTTCTGATTTAATAATATTATTTTATTATTTTATTTAACAAATTTATTTATACGTTTAGTAATGTTGTTATAATAATATTTTATTAATTTACTTAACAAATTAGATATTTTATGATTAAAATATACAGAAGATGTAATAAAAACTTCTCATTGCCCTAGCTCTGTTACTTTATTATCACAGTTAGTGATTTTCCTTAATATTATTGTTCGACAATACGTGTAAAATGTTCATTGTAATGGATATTGGAACACTTGCCTCCACTGGGAGGTCCAGGCTCAATTTGATCCCGAGTATAGTTTGGCAGCATCGCAACTGTGTAGCCGGTGCAGCACAACCGGTTTCCAGGAAGTCTGTCGACAATAGTGAACACGATCGATTGAAGCTACGCTTTGCCGCGACGAAAAACAACACGCAATAGGTCGTAGTAAATTGAAAAGAAAGAGAGAGCGAGAGAGAGAGAGAGAGAGAGAGAGAGAGATTGGTGAAAGCCGCACAACTTGCGATTGCATTCCATATCGAACGCGTTCCATATCGAATTTCTGCGAAACAATGAACTTAATCTGAGTTTATCAGATACTAGATTAACATTTTTATCGCAACTTTTATCAACTTTCACTTTTTCTTCGCATTAGAATGTAAGTTATATTTTATTTTAGCGGTTTGACGCTTACGTATTTTAAATTTTTAAATGCTACATTCATATTTTTAGATGTCTTAAGGGGATCTTAAAGTGGAGACCGAATTCCGACGGGATCGATGTTTTATCGTTTCAGTGGAACGTACACACATATTAAACTACGTATCTTATATTCACACGTATACAAATGTATAAATTTCATAGAACGATATTGTGCAGAATTAAACGACTAATACATGTTTCCTTGATGTGGTTTAATTTTAATTTTGGTTCAATTAACTCTTCATCTTTTTTCAATTTCTAGAACTAGAAAAAGATAGAAGGCAAGTTAAACTGTTTGCTCTGAGATTAAAGTTAATCTACGTTGGTAGAAATGGACATCAGTCTAATTCCACAAGAACTCGGCGTTGTTTCTTCGTGTAATCTACTATTCTGCGTAGTCTCCAATTTCGTAAAACAGATTGCGGAGCTTTTATCAAACAAATATTGCTACTTGACAGCTCTATATTGTATTGCGAAATGGTAAAAAAAAAAAAAATCTCAATTTCAAAAATTGTTGTCGTTCTCGGCATAAACTCCATGCTATAGACTAATATTAATTAGAACTGAGCGTTCTATTTGAAATACTTTTATTTGATCAATAGTAAAACAATTGTATCTTGTATTTTGTATTTTATGTGAGCATATAAAAGTATTTTGTATTTTAAATACTAAGATTGACAATCAGTTGAATTACTAAGTACAAAAAAACTTTCAATAAAAGTATTTTAAATATGTAGCCCTGGGAGAATTAATGCCTATAATTATGAAAAAAATTCCACCTGTAAAAGCAATTGTGCAATATCATTTTATGAAAATTATTGCATTTAATCAGACGACTTCAGGATCTCCTTAAATTTCGTACGTATGTTAAATTCAACGTTGAATATAAGTATGTGAAACAATTGAATACCGGGTGTATTGAATCTCCGTGTCTTTAATATGATGGTGTGTAAACGAGCGTGCAGATCGATCGAAAGTAAATTGAAACATTGGCAATTTTCCGTCACGATCGGAGCGAGCAATTATCCCGGCGTGCGATTCGCAATAATAAAGGCGCTTTCTGCGACAATAAAAGAAAGGTCTTATCAAACGCGGCGGTCCGCGGACCTCGATGGGAGCAGTGAGGCTCGATCGATTCTTCCTCTCACCGCAAAAAGGAAATATTATTTTAATCTTCCTCTCCAACCGGTAGGGCTGATGTCTCAATAAATAGCGCTCGGAGAGCGGGCGGCGATTGGTCGGTGTCCTTTGGAGAGCTCGCGAATGGAATTGTCCAAGCTGATCTTTTAATCCGTGAGTTTTCCATCCAAAAATCCTTGGAGGAGAATCCCCGTTTTAAAATAATTTTAATAAATTTTATTTCAAAACAGCGAATCGTCCGCGCAAAACACCTTTTTGTTGAATCCAAAGCTTGCGTTTGGCAGACTTTTTTCACGTTTCTTGGATCGTCGCGAATTTTCCCGCCGCCGATTTTCCCGACGTCGTTTAATTCTTTATAGATTGGCGATTCCACTTTAGAATCATATTTCCTCTTATTTTATTTTAAACTGTGCTCGCTCGATTTTTATGAAATTTGGCTTATAGGATAATTTGATGATACTTTATTCGAATGAGATGAAAAATAAAAAATTCAAAATGATAGATTCAATATGGATGAAATTTAAAAAAAATAATTTGATTATCGTGAAACTTAATTTTAGAGAGTTTTTAATTACCAAGTAACATCAAGTTTCTTTTGCTTTACTTTGAAGCTTATCAGTGCAAATAGTTTATAGTATTGATCCAAACTAACTTCCAAACTCTAATTATGAGTGCTGTGACACGTGAAATACTCCTTCATGGAGGTTACTATTAGGTGTTGGAATTAATTCGTAGCGTTTTTTAATGAAAGAATGTTATTTATTTCACATGAGCATTAAAAAATACATTAATGAAAGTACTTCCCATCACTTGTAAAACGCTACGAATTAATTCCAACACCTAATACTTTTGAAATTCTCAATATTTTCAAGCTATATTCAAAGTACTCAGAGATAAGAATTTCCTTAGAACCCGATTCTGTAACTCTTAACGACGTTGATGTCGTTGTGCAGATAATATGTAGAGTAAAAAAGTCCCTTAGCTGAATTTTACGATAATCAGATTATTTCGTTGAAGTATAGAATTCTGAAAATATATTTTAGAATTCTGAAGCTAAAGATTCAATCGAATTCAATAACCCCGAAACTCTTAAATCTGGATTTTCATTTGTTGATTAACTTGTGGTAAAAACGAGCATTTGCCTCTTTTATTATAATTATACTGCTTTTATTTCTTTTACTGAACCACTGATTTTTGCATCATTAACATTAATCGCAACAAAAACTATAATATATGCAGATTAGTTTACCGTTATCGTGAGAGAGACGGCAAAAAGAGGAAAGAAAGGCTTTATCACTGATAACAAAATGGATGATTTTGTAACGATGATTATTTCGAAAATAAAAGAGCTCTTGAGCTTCATCATTATGCAACAAACACAGGGTTTTAATATTATTAATATTAATTCTTCATTATGTATTGAAGTAATATCGACGAACGTGACAGCGATAAACGTTAACGTAATATTCAATAACCGTTGACTGAGTGCTAAGCGATATAATAATATTGTTGCGATATTGAAATGACGATACGAATAATGACGATAATTAAATATTTCATAAATATTAAAGTAATACCAATATTACATTCCATTATTTATTATTATTTATATTTCGAATTATTGATGCGCGTATCCATACACAATCCAAGCTTCGAAACAATCAACTTAACAGCGAAATACAAAATATCAGGCATGCATTTCCAACTCGCTTTTAAAATTGGAGATTATCTTGTGTGAATACAGTAAATGTAAGTCTCGTTAATTACAAAGCAATATAATCAGAGAACAACGGCCAAGCAAAAATTAGAGATGATAAAATAATAAGTAATGATAAATAATTTATTTTAAGTTGGTTTAATAAAGGAATTAAAATAAATTTTATTTTATTCGAAACAATCACGGATACGAAACAATCCTAAATACAACGTTATCAACGATAATCCCACAAGATTCACAGACTAAATAGACTGTTACGATGACGGAGTAGAGATGAGAGACGGGGGATAAATCTCTAGGAGAATCGAGATAATGACACGATGAGAAGTCTTTTTCCACTCCCTTTAATCTTCCCTAAATTTAAAGGGCACTCTCGGGCGAGGGTAATCGCGTGGAAGGCAGGTCGAATTAGTATATCATGGCATGGGAAAGGTTATGAGGTGAACGAGGGATGGGTAATTTCGTCGGATGTAAGGGGACGGCTGGTTAAACGAATTGGCCTCATCGTGGAGATTGAATTTGCGTCAAATCTTCCGAACAATGTCGACATTCACTGGTCCGCCTCGCTGCTCTACGAAACAAGAGGCAAGTTCAAGGATACGTGAAATCGCGACCATAAGATACCAAATTTCTTTCCTTAACAATCTGCGCGATCAGAGGTTAAGACCTTTTTTGGATATTAACCCTTCGACATTCTTACACCGAGATCGTTCTTGCTTTGCTTATTCGCGTAGCAACTTCGACGAGCAACTTTGGCAAGAAAACAAAATAACTCACTGGTGATGGTGTTAAGTGGAGAAATCGTACCAATTTAAAGTTTAAACCTCGTAATTGAGATATAGACGTTAAAGCGCTAGTTTTGGTAACTTAGTAGATTCTAGCGTGAGATCTGAGGATTAAATATTTATTTCACGTAATATGAATTGTCCATTCGTATTGCTTACCTTATATTCGGTTCCCTACTTGTTTCCCAATTGTTCTTTATTTATGTTTCATTTATTTTCCATTTGTTTGTTCTACGAGTTTTCCTCGATTTTTTTAGTGTTTCTCCCATGTTTATTTCACATTCGTTTTTTTTTTCTTTACCTTCTATTTGTTCTTCGTTTTATTCTTCGTTTGTTTTTAATTTGTTCTTCGTTTGTTTTCCATCTTCCTTATTTGTTTTTCCTTTGTTATTTTTTATTCCTCATTTCTTCCTCATTTGTTCTCCATTTGTGTTTTTTTTTTTCATTCATTTATTATCTATTTGTTCTTTATTTCATTCCCATTTATTTTTTCATTCGCCATTCTTTCATGAAACCAAATATGGTTCGTGCGCGGTCAAGGCTCAATACCGCTTTGTCGCGTGATCGATTTTCCGCTCGAAATTTCCTCGAAGTCAACGAATGGATGTCAAGGCGAAACGCAAAGTTTTCCAAGAAAGACTCTGCACGTCATACTTGGTTCCAAGATAAAGGAGCTGCAGTTATTCAAATAGAAATGCAGATACACATGCTCACGTTATGGCATTCAAAAAGCTTGACTTATACAGGGTGCTCAATATTGCTCAATTTTTTAAATCAATTCGGAATTAATCTCTTTAAGATGATCGTACAGAGAAAAGAAGAAAGAGAGAGAAACGATTTATTAAAGTTACGATTTATTAAATCAATTCGACCTTGGCCATAAATACAAAACACTCTCAGTTCATTACATTTTCTTGGAAAAGACAATAACAAAATTCAAAGAAAAACGAACAAAATATTACAACTGTTATAAAAAAATAATAAATATTATTAGTCGATAAAACTGTCTTTAACCTATTTTTTTAAATCAATTTGTGGGAGGTGCTTTATATTTTTAGCCAAAGCTGTAGCCGCCGAGATTTTTAAAAGGAAAAAAAAATTTATGAAATTCGTAAATTTAATACGGAGGCATGAAGTGCACCTAATTCCAATGACGATTAAAAATTGAAGACCTTGGTCATAAATTTCGGTATCTACGAGGTATCGAAAGTTATCTCTCGGTATCGGGATATCGGTAGCTGCGTTGGGCATCAGTGGCACTTACTCGTATCTACGGCGTCATCCCTTCCGATTTCCGGAATCGACCGGCCGTCGAACTCGCGTGAACCCCGGCTGACCTCTCTCGCCTTCCGGTCATCGTTTTTCCTGACGTCGTCGTGGGATAACTGGCCGGCTAGACGCCGGCAATCCGTGCTTTTCCCTGGAAAATTCTGTCCGGAAGAGAACTTTTCTACGGAACTTCGTCTACGAATGGCGCGCTTCGTGCTGTGAGTTTCCGCGTCGCTGTGAGCGCAGAAAGTCCGCGCGATCGTCGGACGAACGAAGGATGTAACGACGAATGTAAGAAGAGTAAAACGCACGCGTGTCGCTGAACGAAAATCGAGAGTGAATGGAGGATCAATGGAGATCGAAGACAAAATTAATGTGGAGAGCAAAAGGTCTGTGGCGATTAAGAATAAAATCACCCTATATATGGCTCGTCTAAGCTTTGGGATTTTTTCAAAGTTTTTTGCTTAATCTAATTTCTTTGCTTTCAGAAAAAGAACTCTTTGGAAAGAGTTTAAAATTGAAAATTAATGGTCAAATTAAAAAGAAGAACTTTCTGAACGTAAAATGGATGTGACATCTTCAAGTATTTATAGTACAGTGAGGATAAAAAAGTAACATTTGGATCATATTGGGTACATGTACGATTACCTTAGAAACACTTCATGTCCCTTTAATTCATAATCTGTGATTCAGAACTGAGAAAGTGGAGTTTTAAATTTGACTCGTTTCGATTTAATTTATATGATCTGAAGTTACAAGTAAATTGGCATCAAAATGTACCATATTTAAAATTATTTAAAAATTGTTGAGATGTAAGTGTATAAAATTTTCTTTGCTATCATATACCTTGTCTGATGCAAGCAAATTATTTTTAACTAATTAATAACTTTTATGAACTTTATATACCTTGACAATTATTGAAGCGATGTTCTCTTATTGACGTAGAGAAGCCCATCTAATAAGCTGTTTTTCTTGGAAAGAAATCTTTCTTACTCCAACTATCAACTTCACTTGGTTGGTGAAATAGCTCGTGGTCTGCGAAAAGTATTTGATATTTTCAAAGGATTCTCTTTGTGGCTTTTGACGTTGCTTTGTGGCATTGCAGCGTTGCACAGGTCTCTTCACAATCGTGTCTTTGACGCTAACGTAGCGATAGTCGAAACTAGTATTCCCGATCGGAGTATTCATCTTTTCTTCCGCAGTGAAGGAGATCAACCTTGGCAAAAATAGGAAATATTTGCACTTAAAAAAATATCGGTGTGAAAACATGATGTATATAATATGCGATCCATATAATTTTCACTGTGTTGGTGTTCATATTGTATTAATACTAAACATGATTATCATTTAAATTCACATGATAATGTTGCTACAGAATTTGAATAATATTAGGTACCTTATTCATTATTATTTAAAGTTCCAGCTTAAAACTTGTGGTATTTAGTGTAACAAATTATTTTTTGTTTCAAGAATGCAAAAGAATTCCAAATGAATGAAAAAAATATAAGTATAATATTTTTCATCAAAGCTGTATAACAAACTCCAAGAGTTTTAAATCCACACCTCCTGTTGGTGTTAATATTAACCCCTGATTTTATGAACCGTGTTAAAACATTTTTTTTTTAATTCAATTTAAAGGCTACAAAATTAAGCAATTAATTTTTTCAAAATTTTAACTGTTTTTTCAACATATACGTTATTATGTACATTTGATTTGAAATAAAAATATCGATAGAATTCATAATTTTAACGAGTGTCTTTAAATTTGATATACATTACAATGTAGGATCTGAAAGGTTAACATCAACATGGTGAGAATTATATAGAAAATTATATCATACGATAAATCCATATTTTTTACAGTGTCGAAAAGCTCAGGTCTTTATTCAAGGTTCCGTGTACGCGATATTTAATCATTGATAATTTTAAAGCTACAACGGCTTCAATATCGCGACTTTCCGATTTCTCCAGGCGATCGTGCTCCGCCGTGACTTTCTCTCTTTGACCGCGCCGTATCACCGAGGCGTTTTCCCGGGGCCTAATCACCTAATCGCGTTCGCGGAATCGAGGAGGCGAGCAGCGACCCCGGGTGCGATAAATTCGTGCCCCGTCCGCGTCGCAGCACCCACCGCTACTCGGTAATAAAGCGATCGATTCCTCGAGGCCACGTGAGTCGTGCGTTTCCAGGTATGCCACCCGCCGGCTCGACAACGAGTTCAGAGAAGTCCTTATGGGAAATCGATATATGCCCGGGATTCTTAATACGCAAATGTCGTTTCGGTTCGAGATATGCGATATCAGTTTCCGTTCCCCGCGCCCGAACGGAGCAGGATCCGAGGATCCATGATATTAATACATACTTTACTTTGTTATCAGAGATACCTGCAGGAATCGAAAAGAAATATGAGAAATTAACGGTATAATTTTCATCGGGTTACCGATAGGATTTGACAATTCGAGAAATATTGTAGAATTTCTTGGATTAACAGGAACGCTAGTGAATTTTTTTAAAAGTTTCATAGAAAATAGTTATTTAATTGTAATAATCAGGATTGGATAGTGTTAAGTTAAAAAGTTAAAAAGTTAATTAATTTTAACTTAATTTAGTTACATTTTATCGGTGACTATTAACTTTTAAGTTGATTTTTTTGAAGTCAATCCTCAGATACAATTATATAAAATGGTCAAACTTTTTTTTTTATTGTTCGTTCGTACAAAAATTTAACTTTTCAATTATTACTTTTTTTATTAACTTAACTTTTAATTCAATTAACTTCATTATGGATTAACTTGTATTTTAATTAAGTTAAATTTTCAAGGCTGTTAACTTTAACTTAACTTAGTTAAAAAAAAGTTAAAAAAAAATAACTTACTCAACTCTGATAATAATAATAAGAATAATCTTTATTTATTGCTATTATACGGCACTGATAAGATACAAAGTATTAAAGGCTGACGAATTAAATGCTACAGAAACAGATTACACAAGCAAAAGATAAGGTATCAACAAGACTGCTGAGACTCACCAATTACAAAGCATATAAAAGAAAGAAACAGAGAGATATAATGAAGACACATCCGTACATCTACATGCACTCAGACATACACATAACAACGGCACTTAATTGTGCATGACAAATTAACTTAGTTAGATTTAGTAGAATGAATGCAACGAAGTATAATGAAAGCAAAAAAAAGTAACGGTTAAGATATTAACTAGAAAGACTTGATTTTATCAAGGAACGTAAAGAGGAAAAAAACAATACAGAAGAATAACAAAAAATAATAAATGCAGAAGCATACGTAGGTGTCGCTGCATAAAATATAAATTTATTATATAGCGAAAGAGATTACATGAAAAAAAAAAAACAAAAGCATGAAAAATGTAAAATCCTTACTTTCCTCATAGTCTATTATTTTTTTTTCATCAATAAGTAGAAAATCTTTGCTTAACATATTTAACCTTTTAAAAAGAGAACTCTTATTTATATATTATACAAAAGCTTTATTTTTTAAATCAAAATTTAAGGTTCTATAGTTACGCAAAAAAATTTGTGCACATTTCCACATTCAACGATTGACACCTTCTGTTACCAAGTCCAACATCCCGATAGATCTAAATTTTATAAATTCAATTCCGTTGTCATGACCGATTTGAGGAAAGGTTACGACGGGGTGGCAGGGTGCAGAAGGAGGAGGAGGAGGAGGAGGAGGGACGATTCTTTTCAGTGAAATCGTTCTAACGCAGCGGGAGAATCCGAAATCAGGAGACCGTCCTCTTGGTCCGTTCCTACAAATCCATAGCCACCCTCGCGTCAGCTCGCTTCCTTTTCACAATTCCTGCGCCAATTTCTCATTCGCCGCCGATCTGCTGCAAACGAGACGGACAAATGGTGGTCGCCTCCCTTTGGCAAGGACGAAGGACCCATTCGACCTCCGGGGCGAGGCGCTCGTCCAGCGTTCGTCGAGCTCCAGGAGATCCATCTCACGACCTGGACGTTCAATCTTCCACCGCGAAGCTCCTCTTTTATTTCCGCGATTAGGCGAGATTAATTCGCGGTGCCTGCGGGTGTTCGCGACCGGCGGGATAAGTCCCTTTATGGATCGCCGGCCATTCGATCGCGTACTTTTGCTCATTAGTGCGGGAATTTTACGTGACAAATTGCCGAGGCGGGAAAAGGAAGGAAAAAACATGAACGTCGGGTCTTTAATTCTTCCCAATTAAAATCCATCTGTGTCTAATTATTCGAATAATTATGTCCGTTAATAATCCTTATTCATTTTGTTAACTTTCCGTTTCTCTTTCGTTTCGTTTTTTACATTCCTCATTAATTTTTTAATTCTCTCCACGATGATCGGTACGTCGTTAAATATCTATTCTTAAATCTCCTGACCTTCCTCCGCTCTTTAAGAGTTTTCTTCATTACAGCTCTTTTATTAAATCGCTTATTTGCATTAAACAAATTTAATGCAAGTAAAATACCTATTCTCTGCGGATATTGATGCGTAAGTTATACATTCGTAACACGGTAGATACAATTTGCAACTAATTGGGATTACCAAACGAAGTTAAAGTAAACGTTTGACTCTGAATTTGAGTCTTTCTCAGTGCGACAGTCAAGTACAAACTAGAAAATAGCTTTAATCTTTGGAATCTCTTGCATTTCAGGAATAGGATCGCGTTCGATCTTAATCTCGCCGTTTTGGTATTATTATATATTATGAGCCTCTGCGAATGTTAGTGTATAAATTATATATTTATACGCGATATAATTTGCAACCAATTAGGATGTACCTACTTATCAAACGAAGTTAAAGTAAACGTTTGACTCCGGATTCGAGTCCTTTTCAGTGCGGAAGTCAAGTACAAACTACGAAAGAGCTTTAATCTTTGGAATCTTTTGCATTTCACGGGAATAGGATCGCGTTCGTCCTTGCCGCGTTTTTCCTTGACCTAATAAACCTCGTCGGTTCCGGTATATTATATAATATATGACTGGCAAAGAGGCTAATATTTCCTAAATGCTTTGCGTTAGAAAGATTTATGTTTCGCCATGTAAACTCGTAACCAGGATGAAGAGAATTCGGAGACATTTAGTTGATGCGTGGGCGTTAAATATGGAAGCGAGCGTGCCTTAATTAGCGTGCAAATCCGCCGAAATTCGCGAGGCGGGACGCGAAATTCATGCCTCGACGGCACGCTGTTTCCTGACGTCGTTCTCGTTTTCCCTAATGAAAGTAAATCTGAAACGCCATGAAACTTCGGGCGAACGATCTATTCGCGAGTTTAACGGTGAATCGATCGGCGAGACTACGCGAGCTTCTAATATTACGTAACATTTAATTCTCCGAAGATGGTTCTCTCTCGCGGAATTAATCTTTAGCCGTTTAATTAGTCTCCCAATTATCTCTTCCGGTAATTCCGTCTTTTTTGTTCCAACATAACTTGTTAAGCCATGTTATGCACCTCTGAAAATAAAAGAAACCGATAAATCCTCGATCGATTCTCAAAGTTATTTGTGAAAGTTACGCTCGAAACTTAAGGATGTTTTATACAACATTAGCTAAAGATAACAGCCAAAAAATTAGCTAAAAAAGCCAATATCAGCTAATTGCCAATAAAGTTTTGTCTTAAATACGTTCTGGGATCAAGTACAAAAAATAAAACAACAAGTAATTTGGCTTATAATGGCTTTATACAGCGAAACGATCACATTTTACTGTAGTGTTTTAGGTGTAAATAGGTCAAAATAAATTTTTATCTAAATATTTATATTAGAGTTTTATTAGTAGGCTGAGAAAAAATACAGTCAATTTTAATAAATATTTAAGTTCAATACCAACCAAACATTTACTTTAATAAATAAATATTTATTCAATAAAAATAATGATTACTAAATCAAATTAATGGTTCTTGCATCAAATAAATATATTTGCAGTATTTAACTAAATATTTATTAAAATTGATTAATTTTTTTCTCAGTGTATATTTAAAAACATAATTTAATTCGTAACGACCTCATCAAATTTGCAAATAATTACAGAATTTTAATTTTCACATAAGAATCAAGGCTAACAAAAAATTAAATAATAATAAAAGAATTGTTTTAAAATTTTACACAGATTTTTAGACGTAACAATGGCACAATTTATGAAATTTTACATTTTTGATAATATTTTCATGATATGACACATACAATCTTAATATAGACG